AAACGTTATCACTAGCTTTACTTCTAGGAAGGTAAAGGGAGAAATGAAAACCAGCTGCCTAGTTATCTATACTTTCAGGGACACTTTAACCTCCTGAAAGTCATATTCGGGTAATTTATTTCAGGACCTGTCGGAAATCATTCATCACAGAACTGTTGGCCCATTCTCATCATAAAATGAATTATTTGTGACTATAAAGATTGTATTTCACTAGGGTTGTTTTAACTTATTGACTCTCAGCATTTTATAAATATTATATTTTGTAAAATAAAATTGCAGGCACTTTTATATACATTTAAAAAGTAAAGCTTGTTATCTTTGTGTTATCCGTCAAGCTTCAAATACAGATGTTATATCAGAATTTAGACCCCATTTTAGACTTTTCCAATGTAGTATATCCACTCCAAAAAAGCTGTAAAGGTCTACCAATGATTTTGTATTTAATCGTGCCTGTCCAGCCAGTTCTTCGGTTACAAAAGCTGAAAGAAATAAAGAACAAATCTCTAAGCATCACTAATAATAACACCTCAGTTGTGATTTGGTATCAGTTTGTGAGGTCCTTGCCAGTTCCCACCCTAAATGTCCACGGCAAATATGTACCAGTCTCAATAGTTTTGCATCAAACCCAACCTCCTAAGATGTTTGACTTTACTTGCATGTAGAGCACACCTGGGAGATTTACCATAATGAATACCTGATGTAGTGAAGCAGTTAATTCCGCCTATAAAATAACTCCCTTCCTCCTTCCTGTGGGCCCCGGCTGTTGTTTATCAAACGAGGTAACGTCCTGTCATGTGACCCCTCCTCCCTCCCAGAAACCCACCTGTGTGGACTTTTCTCTTAATCCCTCTCTAGTCCCCCAACCCCCCTGCTTCTTTTTTGCTGTGCGCTTTGAATACTTAGACTACTGAGTGTAACTAATTCTCCCACACAAGGATATTGTCTTCTCTCTATCTCTGCTTTGTCCTTCCCTTTCAAGCTGGCTATTCACTGATTTCATTAGTTTGCGGTGTGGTGTGAGGGAGAGTTTGCCATGGGGGGGGGGGGGGGTTTCCCAATTAAAACGCCTTAATAGCCTATTACCATCACCTTAAATTCAACTCAGTGTTTTTTTCTACTACACAAAATCCGCTAAAGATAAATCACAGGACCAGCGTGGGAGCATTTAAAAGCCATTCTTATATTAATGAACTTTAACTAGGAGTGATGGATTTGAGCTGCCTTAGAATGGTTTGACTACAACAGAGAGCAACATGTAGTAGTCACTATTTAAATATTACAAGGGACAATGCTACTTTTCATAGTTTTCTTTAGGACACCAATTATATTGTGCAATGATTAAGCATTAAAGGGGAGATACCTTGGGGTTGAATAGGGTAACATTTGTAACTTATACATGTCATCATAAAACGTATTTTCTGAAATGTTATGTTTGAATGTGGACTTTAGCGTTTATCTTAGAAAATATATAACGGGATGAAAATTGAACATTTTTGACATATGAGAGTCAGAGTTGTATCTCTTTATATCACCTCAAATCCCAAAGTTACTGTCAACAGCCATAAATAACCTATTTCCACCATGTGTTCAGGAATACAATGAGACATAAACTAGGCTATGAATGATATATCAACAAAGGCCTCTGTAAAAGCCTTAAGAATATAGATAGGAATGAGACTGGAAAGGTTGGTGTTTGTGAGTGCTACTGAAGTGGAGATTTCTGAATGAAAGCATGAGACAAAAAGAAAGGAAAAAAAGCCTAAGGAAAAAAAGTCAAACATGTTTTACTAATAGATATCACAATAAAACGTTTTGAGTTGATAATTTACTTTTTGGTTTTACTTGATAAAAGTTTTTGGATAAAGATTATGCAAATTAGACATAATTTAGCCCGAATCTATGCAAATCAAATAAACACCTAAAAGCGGACTTTGGTTGTTGTCTAAAATAAGACTATGGAGGCTAAAACCATGCATTTTTTTAATTGGGCAATGCATAAAAAACAATGTTATTGCCTACAGCGCCTTGCCTGAGACAGTAAAAGTAACGATTGTTGTTCCTAGTGGGGGTTTTAAATGAAATGTGTTTAACAGGCTGCTCTTCCTACACACATGCTGCACAGATCCTACAGCTGACCACAGGATGAAGTCCCCTGGGATGACCAAACCACCCTTTCTCAGACACCCATTTGTTGTACCCACCTCCTCCCCCCCAATGGATGACCCTGCAACCAGCAGGGGTCAGCTGCGCAGAAGGAACCCCCCCCCGCACCCCTGCCCTCGGTCCGGAGCCGCGGCGTAAATCAGCGGCTGTTCATCGCGGGAACCCTGCCCTGCCCGAGGTCTCAGCCCAGCCTGGCACCATCTGTCCCGGGGCTCTGACGCAGGAGCAGCGCTGCCAAGGTGGGTTCCCACTGACCTGCTGCACCCACCAGGCCATATGGAGCAGACCTGGAGACAGATCCATCACCACTGCAGACTGGACATGGTGGAGAGGGGCTGGCTGTACATCTACTGTACATCACATGTCTATGAGCTGAGAGTGGGAACATTGAGGTTAAGTAGATAAATAAGAGGATATCCTTACAATAAAGTGAAAACCATTACATCAACTCCATGAAAGCGTAAATGTAATGTCAAAATAAATGTGGTTTATTGCTTATTAACATTTATTTTATAGTTGTTTTAAATCAAATTACAATTGTCCATTGATTAATATGCAGAACTGCTAGTACAAAAGCTCGCCAGTTTTTGCAGGTAATGGAGTATTTCTACATTGCTGTATCCATACTTTTACCTAACTAGAAGACCTGAGTACTTTGTCCACCACTGGTTAGCCCCAAAATGAATAACAATGTTAAACCAACCCCATTTGTAAACGTGCCATTACATTATGGAAAATAAATGATAGATTAAAAATGAACATCTCGTATCAGTTTTGTGTATGTATATAATTAAACTTGTCATAACACAAATTGCCAATTATAACTAAAACTACAGATTTTTGAAAACACTGACGCTCCTTCAATAACATCTTAATTGAGTAATGCGCATAACAAAGGTACCTGCATAATAAATCCATAACATGGAGTGCAAAGAGTATTAGAATTACATGATTAAGTGCTTCAACTTTAAACTATTAACTTTAAAGTACTGAAGTGGAAGATTGCTGATGAAGAGAAGCAGCACTTTTTAAATGGCCAATGTAAACTATAACAGTGACCAATGTTTCTCACAGACTGCCCAAACAGGTACAAAAACAAACGTAAGTGGACCTTTCTCCTGATTAGACTTTAATTGCAGAGCTGTAGGCTACGCTCAAATTGCTTTGTTTCTTTCCAAAAGTATTTGTGCAAATAATGTCGTCAGCATCAATTGAAGTGAAGCACACTAAAAAACAGGAAAACTTCATGAAGCAAAAGTCAATTAGAGCACTTAACAAAATCCACCTCTGGCCCAAACAAGTCCCAATCTACGAATGTGACCTGAGCGACCCCTGTTATTTTGCTGTATAACTGCCGCCACAGACTAAATACATGATGTACAACTCACACATGTAAAACAGCCCAACCTTTTAAGTGCAAGACAAGTCTCTGCACTCCACCTCATCACCCTTGACGACTTGACGTCTTTTCCCTCTCCATCATAACAGCACCTGGACTTGTGACACGTAAATCTTATGTGCAGAGACAGTCTGCGAGACCCCGGGCAGAACAGCCCAGCTTATTGCTTTCTCCCACAGCCCGACCTTGCTTCTTGCCCCCTTAGGCTTGGCTCTAATGGGCGAGCAGGGGTCATAAAGTGGTTGTGTTACCGTTTTCCTCTTTCCAAACCAGTGACACCAGTTGTTCACCCTCCTCACCGAGGCCTTTTGTGAGGCTTGACAGGCTGTCAATTCCAGGCGGAGGATGATTGTAGAAGACGACACGCATTACCTTGAGGTGACACCGCATTCCACTGAAGGCCTGTCTTTATGAGCTAACAATAACTTTGAATAGCTTTTGCAGCAAAGCATTAAAAGTTTGCTTTGGCTCTGCGGTGCGAGTTTGGTGCCGTGTCATTCTTGTCAAATCTGGACTTGTTCTTAAAAGGTTTTATGGAGGAAATTCATCTGGCAGATGTATGATTATTGGGGTAAAGGATCTTTGTTTTTTTAGATTCCCACAAATGTTTTTTCTTTACGGATTTTTTTTTGTCTCGTCACTCTCACGGAATGATTTTTGGCCGTCATCAAGGTTTGAGAGAAGGACAAGACCTTCACTGTGACATATACAACCCCAAGACAAAAATAGACGCCCACCCACACACACACACGTACATACGCAGAAAAGAGTGTGTCATTCTGAGAACAAGCGCAAACTACTGAACATTTTGTACATTTCTCTTCTGGCTTGGTTTGAAATGTTATGAAACGCTGAACAATATTAAACCAATTCATATATTTGAGCATTGATTTATAATATTATAGCTAAATAGAAATCAATTGGTACAAGGTTTTGATATTATTACTGAGACAGTTATCAATTTTTGTGTCCTTCATGTAGTGAGCTAAAACCTTTGATTTTTTATTTCGAGCTTTATAAAATATATTTGGAAGCTGAATTTCTCACACGTTAGTCCTAAGGGTAACTTATTTGATCAGTCATGTTATTAGTAAGATTACATGTACAATCCTGATATAAAAATGAAAAACTGACTGAAACATTTGCAGGTGAATAATGAAGACATCTCTTTTTCACCGGCCAACTCGCCCAATCCAGTTTGTCACATAACGTGAGCACAGACTGCCCTCGTGTGTTAAGCATGCGGTACTGACATTAAACTCCAAAGCACAAGCATCACATGTCAATTTCACGAGGCATTAAGAAATTAGAACCTAATCTAATAACTCACTATCCACATTTACTAAAACAGGATTTTGAAAGACTGTTTTTCAAAAATCCAGACTTGCATATCTTTTTACTTTCCACGGATGTAACCTCTATAAACAGATACACCTGATTGAATGTTTATGATTCATATTTTATTATGATAGAATAACCATAGAAACAAATGTATGTATTGAAATCTGCAAGAGAATACCGACTGTCATTCCATTAACGACAGTTCTCTTTGTACCTCGAGTGCAGCATTCACCTGCCTTCTTCACAGTTCAGTCCAACAGCTTCATGAGTCCGACTCTCACTCCCGCCCGGCCTTCAGTTTCTCCTCCACCGTGTGATCTCCCCTCGAGCCTCCCAGGCAAGGTGGACTTTTGGCCAAAGAGGGATTACTCCCCCACTGCTCAGGAGTCTTTGCCTGGATAGCCAGTGCATGAACGCAGCTACTCAACTCTTCCTTCAGAGCCTCATTAACCAGACGGTGACGCTTTATCAATGGCAGACCCTCAAACTGGGAGCTGACCACCAGGACGCGGAAATGTGATTCTGAGCCGGGGGGCACGGCGTGCATGTGGCTTTCATTGTGGACCTCCAAGTGGTCCGGCGTAAGTTGGTCGGTCAGCTTGGTTCTGATAGACCTCTCAACGGGCCGGCTCGGGTCTGGGTCCATGTGCGGTCTGAAGTGAGCCAGAGGCCGGCTTAAGGAAAGACTGGTAGAGACGGGCCGAACACAGCGGAGAACAGAAGGAAGCATCAGAGGCAGTGGCAAGAGACCACCTATGAAAGCAAGATGGGTATGAATACAGAAGATGTGCGATTTAATGACCAGAAATATATTTATTGTATGGAAGGCATTTTGATTTAATAAAAAGCTTTGAGGTGCTGCACTGAATGCTTAGTACTTGGCATAGATACCCAAAATGTAAGACGAGTCAATAGATTCAGGAGAGACTAAGTTTGATCAGTAGATATATAATCCTAAAAACATTATAGTTGAGTAATTACAGAAATCATCCCTTTAAACCTTGTGTATTTGTCTTGGTTTGTGCGGTTGTATTTGAGGTCATCCTGTTTTCCAACTAAGCCCGTGCATATCAATCATAATGGCATTGGCAATTTAATCTGAAATAAATAACAGCTACATCAAGCTACAGAAAATGTATCTACTATTACTTTGATAATTGAATTAGAGCAAACATTTTTCAGTTTTCATCTTCTCAAATTGAGATGATTTGTTGCCTTTGTGTTTTATATTAAGAAATAAATAGTGACACATGCTGGTGGGGTGGCCACTCTTCTCTTGCACTTATTGAATTACAATATAGTACAGGTGTAGCTATTACTAAAGTGTACATTAATTATGGGGACGGATCCCTGTGTACCAGAGATTTCAATGCCACGGCAAAATCTCTCAAAATAATCGCGAGTCAATTACAACCTGCCATTCGCGAACATGTTCTATTTAGCTGGAAGTTGAGCTAATACATTAGCCTGTAGATCAGATCCATAGAAAGCCTCGCGTTGAATAACTAGAAAGCCTGTGTTGTCCACACAGAATGCATCTCATCACACAAAACTGCAATGATGTGTTTTAAACTGGTGCCACGCCTTTTAATGCCTTTCAATTTCAGTGTTGGTGATAGCTAGGTAGCTTAATTCATCCTTGTTTGTTAGCATTAGCCGTTAGCTCTCATAATAAACATCACACAAACAATACGTAAGAAAAATGTGACTGTTAGCATTTTTAAACCGAACAGCTCCATACACGATAATATACCGCACATATGTGTTTATTTATACATTTGATCTAGTCTTGAAGATAAAGTGTAGAGTGTTTTTGTGAACTACTCACCTTGCTAGTGAAGTCAGTTGCTACTCTGGTACCGTGACGCAACACTCACCGGAAGTTCCAGAACACTGGGTGGTGTAGTTTTTAAGCCTTTGTAGTCCTGTTGCAGCATTGAAGGCATCTTTTAACGTTTTGTAGTCTCGTAAATAATAATAATAATAATAATCGTAAAACAACAGACATAAAGGCTTGACAAAGATTGACTTTTTATACTTTTTGTTTATTTCATGGTTCTTTGTAATCCATTGTGATTCCAAAGGGTCAGTTGCACAGCACAGTGCAAACCCAATCAAAAATCAACAATGATAAAATATAAGAAAAATCTCACACACCTTTAAACAGAACTGATGTTGTCACATTTAGGCTAACTATGATTCATAACCGGTATTTAACATTGATGTATTTACTTATATTTCATTCTCATTTACAAAATACACAAAACCAAAGACAACATACAGCATTGTTCATTTACACTTCTTTTTTATAACTTTTTTTTGTATATTCATGGTTTCACAAACAGTTTCTATTACAAACAATCAACTACAGTTTCTACAGCACAGTACAATGACAAAGGTGATAAATTCTTTGTTACACTTAATTAATGGCATTGCAATCTTATTGAAAAAAAGCCTCAATAATTAGGGTTGTTTTAGAGAGTACACAAGGTGGTTAGCTGTTAAGTCCTGTGTCATTATTAAGCCAATACACAGCATTTTAGTGGACAAGGCCAGCATATAGTAGTGTTCTCCAATTCCCAATAGCTTCAAAGAAGAGAATAAGAGACAAATACCCAAACACTTATTGCTTTGTTAACTTTTTGCACTCACGACTGACTGTTGCACAGGCAACTAGTTAATTATACAAAAAACCCTGTAACATAAGCTAAGATATGTATCTACGAGAGACAATTTTAACTTGGACGGAGCCTGAACTGAGTCACTGAGAAAGGTTAGCGCTTAAACAGCATCCAATGTTGAACAAATACAGTTATCTTGACATCGTTGCTGTTAAATTGTAGGGATGATACAGGACAACATACAGAGAATAGGACTTCTGACTCTTACCTTTTATAATTTACAGTTAATGTGCATTTATATACTATCAATGTGCTTTAAGGAGGGAATTTGGGCAAATGTTCTTACTTTTTGGCCATCCTGGCTTCTGTAGCCATCATTTTTGCAGTGCAGACCACCTACCATGATAGGTCAAGTTATATATATATATTTTTATATTTTACTGCAGAATATTTCCAGGGGTCCAAATGTTTGAAGAGCAATCTTATTAGTTACATTATAAGTATTTTTTATTTACATATATTTATATCTATAACAGAGAGTTGATGGTATAATGTGTAAACTCAGGCCATAGAAAATATTTGGCAATAATTAATGAGAGGTGATACTCATGGCAAACTCATGGATAATGATTTCAAATTTGAAGTTAGATCAGTGTGACAATAAGGGAGTGAAATGTAAGGGGCATGTCGTCAAAGCTCGAAGCACTTCATGTTCACAACTGCACTCATGTTCACAATCTTATCATTTGGTATGTTTTGGTCTTTGTGCTCTTGCTAAACGCTAACCTTGTTCTTCATTAAATCTCTAGCAAGGCTGCATTAGATTGTTTCTTAAAGATCTTGAGGCATTTACAATTGTGCATGTACGACAATGTACATTTAGTGCAATGGGTTGTCTATTTATTTAACTGTCTTGCGTCTACGTATGGCTGCTATCCTACAAAATGGCAGTTTGGACGAAAACGTTGTTGTTGTTAATCTGATGTGTTAATGATTGTTTTTTCTTATACCATGCAATTGTGAACATATCATCCGTGCTTTTTGTAAATCAAGGGAATGTGGCAATTGTTGCCAACACTTTGTGCTGTTATCAATGTGGGATATATGACAATCAGCCCTTGGCAGTGAGTTCTCTACGGTGAAACTCATGTTATATCAAGCTACATCTGTATAATAAAGCACAAGTAAACACAGGGTCCCAGTGCACTCCAAATCCATACCCTCAGTAGCCCACAACTAATTTTCAACTGCAATTAATACTCACTATTTAACATGTTGTGTGCCCCAAGGAACTCCCAAATTAGGGACATTTAAAACACAACAATTATGCTGCATGTCACCTTTCTTTTTTTTAATTTTGGAGCAGTATTTTACAACAATTTAAATATTTTCTTTCAGCCTGTCTTATTAAAAAACAGGTTAAGTCCAGCATGTTATCACACCATGATCAGTTATCTTTATAAGACAGCTACCCCACAACACTTTACAAATCAGAATAGTGTTTGTGATACATGAAACGGTAAAAGACATAAAAAATTAAATAAAATCTCAATATTGCACAGAGGTTCAATATTGCACTAAAAAGCACACTCACATTTATATAAACATTCAGTTCACACAAACAATTAGATTATAGTTTACCTGTCGGTTCTCACACACCTGCACTGAAACCATCATAAACTAAGCCGTGATTTTTCTCCCTTGACATCACCTGTATTTTTTCCCACGTTTGTGTATGATTTAACGCAATAAATAAATATTTTATTTTTAAGAACTTCCTATTTAGTGATCTCTGGAAAGAGTTTGATAAGGTAACCTAGAAACCTTCATATTACTGCTACCAACAGCAGAATCAAATCTCAGTGTTGTCTTTAGAAATAAAAAATATTACTGTGACTTAAACCGGACTAACCAGTGAGCAAAATCAACTTGTCCCTAATGCTGTTTACACGATGTACTCTCAATTTTCATAAATGTGCATACATACTTTGTGACATGCATAACACCCTCAAAACATAGGCCTATATTATAAGACACAAACATAATGTAAGCCTGGGAGGAGAGGTACTCAAAAGGCATTTCTTACAAAGGGATATACAGTGTGATTGAAAAGTGGTGATTGAATGTGAGATTCTGAACATTTTCATCAAGTCAAGAAAATGTTATGGACTTTCACACTGGCAAATGGTTGTGCTTTAAATGTACACTTTGACAAACAGCGTAATATGTGATGAAATCATGACAGCACACCATTTTAACCTGGTATGGAAAACATATCCATTAACTGATTTAATTGATCTCATGGTTGTTTAAAGAAACAATGTCTTAAAGGGAAATAAGGGGCTTGATTTTTCTCTTTGTCACATTCTGACAACAAAAACAAACCTGGAATGTTCTATAATCTATAAAATGGCAGTAAGTCCGTACACCAACACAAAAAACCTCTAGAGATAAAAAATGAGGACAGGTTTTTGTTTTTAGAGCAAGCCAAGAGCTGTGTCCTGGTTTTAACCCGCAAAGTCAAACATGCTTTAAATCAAGGCATTTTTGATGTCCAACAATGGCAAAGTACTCAAGACTTGACAGGTGAGTTGAATGGAGGTGACTACAGAGAACTCTGTAACAATGGCTAGTGGTCAGTCTATTTGCATGGCTCATTATCAAGAACCCCCATCCCCTGACCTCCAACCCCAGGTGTGAGTACTGTACTTGTATTTGGGGGGTGGGTATATCTAAATCAAATATAATAATCCAGGGGAAATAAATGTCATGCTCTCACTGAACAAGTTAATATTACTTTTGCCTTGGCACCAATTATGAGCAATGTTGTCTCAACATTTATTGGACCAATTTAATGATTTGTCACATCTTCACTATCAAATAATACCAAGTCCTAAATATTTACAGCAGATCTGCATCGCTCTTTTGCATTGTGTTATGTGTACAAACTTGACTCTATCATTTGGAGGGAGGGGTTAGAGAGGAGGATTTAGAGGGCTCTTGAGCTGTTCATTCACAGTGTTGTGAAAACTCATCTGCCCTCCCCTGGGAAAGTTGAAGCGCCACACTATTGCAGCACCTGACCCCGCGTCTCCGGTAGTTTGAGGGCCAGAAAACTTCCCGCCGCCAGCGCCCCTGAGGCAAAGATGATGGGCACTGCCTTGGTGATACCAACGAATGAAGTAAAGATGCTTATCCCTAAAATAGCCGCTAATTTACAGAGGGCGTTGAGGAAGCCAAACGCTGTACATCTGAGAAGAGAAAGAGGGCAGAAAAGCAGAACAGTCAGGTTACAGTCTGTTGTTTAATAATGTAATAAAGGGACAGTTCAACACAGTTTATATATATCCTAGAATCCTAGAATGTTTGAATGTTTGCAGAGTGTTGAATATATCGATCATTGATTTAATCTTGCGCTATAAGGAGATGAAAACATTTTTGACATCCTCATCTATCGAGCTGTAACTTCAGCGAGCTAAAGTGATGCAAGCTTCCTTCTGCAAGGTATCACTGTTGGTGGGTGCAGTTTGGTAGAAGAAAAAGAGTTCCTACATCAAGCTTCTCATAACAAGTGTCTGTGAAATATATTAAGTAATCAGGTGATGATTTCTGTTAAGAGACATCGCAATTTGATGGCGTGTTGGGGCACCACAACTAGTTTCTATATATTAGAGAGAAGCCAAACATCTATACAACCAATATATATCTCTAACAGCCTGCAACCAAAACAATCTTGATTGATAAATAGCACAAAAGGTAAGAGACGTATTCTGAATTTGTACTGAATTTTCCCTTCAACAAGATAAAATACATCCAAAGGAGAAAGCAGGGAAATTATGGATACATTGGAAGATGTATCTCTACTCTGTATGCCAAACAGAGAAATTAACAGCTTGAGTCTAAATCTAACAGAGTTTAAGAGTGTTATCTGCATTTACACTACATTCACTGTAAAGGCTGTATGGACCGTATATAACCACAAGGTGGAGCTACATCTAAAATAAAAACTCAAAAGCTGTTCCCACCTCTTACAGATGGGCATCACAAAACGACATGTTCTTGCATTGGAAAAATGCTTCAATTATGTTCCACAACACTATTCACATGTTATCTTATACATTACGTTGCATCATGGTTGCATTGCACTAAGAACACATCATACTAAAGCCATTATTAGGTGGCAACAAGGCAGCAAAGTGCTTCACATCACATGCCCCACCAATGATTTCACCCCACAATGTCATCTATCCCTTCAAGCCAACCAATCATTG